TATATATATATATATATATATATATATATATATATATATATATATATATATATATATATATATATATATATATACAGCTGATATATATATATATATATATATATATATATACAGCATATATACATATATATTTATATATTTATACCAGACGTATTAGAAAAGACAGGCGGAGGGAAGGGATAAGGGGAACATGGGAGACAGAGCTATGAGGCGGGACAGCGAAACTCATTCATCATGAACATTCATCGATGTGCATTCCCCCGGCGTTTTTTTTGTGATTCTCTGGCAAAGAACTCAAAATTTAAGGATTAAAACACTGCTCTGCAATCTCGCAATCTCATTGAAACTTTTCACAGATTAAACAGAGATGGTCTAAATAGGGGAATATTAGTGGTGGCAATAATCATTAGAACTCCTAATTAGTATCGACTGACTTACCGTTCTGATTCTTCCGGAAAAACTCTTCATGTAGCAGTAGTAATGTCTCAAGTATTTCAAGACCGTCTAAGTAATGCAGGACTACAGCAACAGTTAGTAAATTCAGAAATTCCATCCCAATTACTGCAATTCTATCTGGAAGATTAACGTACACATCCGTGATAGCTTTCATTGTTCAGTTAAAGCTACTGGAAAGGAACCTCACCGGAATTCGCATCTGATCTTTCGAACCAAAAACACCTCATGATATTAACTTTTACAGTTCAGAAATGGAATGTATAAGGATCTTACTCAACAAGTTCAGTGAACTTGTTCACTTCGTTGGGAACGGTGGAAAGATTCCGATGACGACTGCATTAGGACACTGTTGCGCAGTTTGCTTTTGATTTATGAAATTGACGTTTTCAGGCAACAGATTTCAAAAGCACGTAACAGATTGCACCCAAGGCAATCAAACGTGATACGCGAGAATAAGTGATCTCATTTCGACCATCACATTTGGAAGATGGGTTGAAAGGAAGCTTATGGTGAGACAGGTCCAACATTCCAACATTACAAGCATCTCCTAGAACATAAATTTCGAGGGTGTTCGTAAAATTCTCATTAGTAGATACCTCTTAGCTTGCATTTCACGGAGCCAAATAAGCTTTTACTGTTCTACTCTGTAAACGAAAAGTCGGTTATCTTTTGGTCGCAAAGCTGTAATGATTAAGCACGAATGTGAATATCTAGCCGTGGGAATAAGCTATCTTCTTTAGGGATGATAATGTATCATCACTGATAAGGAGATGGCAGGATGCAGAGGAGTCAAGGGTCACTAAGTAATATAATGATCGAGTGGTTCGGATGAGAGTGATAAAATAGTGGAGGGTGAACATCGAGCGACAATCAACGTAGACTCAGCAATTGACACTGAACTTAGAGGACGGAAGTGAATCATCAAGCGCAGAGAGACAAACAGATAAACGGACCAGTATGCCCTCCTCCCTGGAGGGCACTGAACATTGGGGATGGTGACAGCTACAAGAAAACGCAGCATCCTTCCCTTCGAAAAGAAGACGTGCATCGTAAAAGCGTCCGAATGTGCTGGTGCCCTCTTCCGAGATGAACTGCGTGCGTTTGTGTGTGATTCCCTGAGTCAATTTCTTCCTGTATTCCAGTATCCCGAATGCCAGGGAACGGGAGAAAATGTAACTACTGACTGTTTGCTGCTATCGAGGAAGTTCCGGAATAAATGAATTGAGAAGACAATTGTTCCTTTTCAAGAAAAGAGGATAGATAGACAGAGCAGGAAGTTTGAAACAGGAATGACGTCACCCGAAGAGGTGGAAGTTTTGGTGTACTTCGGATGTGTGCATATGTCCCTCTTTTCTGCTCCCGCAGTCTGCCTCTCTCACCGTAGCCCATTTTCCTTTAACAGATGAAAGATATTTGTACTAATGCTTCCGAATTTCCCATCATTTACTCATCACCTCATCCCCTCAATAAGTGCATTCATTTGGATGTATTTAGTCATATGTTTGTGCGTACAGACAGACATACCAACAAACGAAAGAAGCGGTATTATACTGACTACAGGGAGAGCATAGGAAAGTTCGGGAAGTCTCGAAGGAACAGGGCAGGGCATCCTATTGGTATTGACACACATGCAACATATCAACTGTATAATACCATTATACGAAAGAGATGTTTGCATTCAGCACGCATCCTAGGAATGTTGGAGGGCAAGTGCAACAAATGGCACGAATCGATCTAATGGGCTTTTTTGCTGAAATATGTAGTCTTAGACAAGCAGAAGGGAAGAAGAAGTAACGATGATCAATTCAGCTGCTTCGAAAGTGCAATCAGTAGACACCAAAGATTGTTTGCAACATACATCACATCTTTTATCTTTTTTCTTAACTCCACGACGAAGTGCCTCTGTTAAGAAATATTCCTAAGTTCACTTACTACCCAATTTTAAAGAAAAAGGTCAGCAAAGGAGAGAGCAAACTTCAAAGATATCACTTAACCTCTTAAACTGATCAGAGTTTCGCAAGCGTCCCAATTCGTTTTGCCATGTTCCCCTCTAACATCAATGGAAGTTTACATTACGTCCGCGACACTCATCCAACTCACTTCCATTCACAATAAACAGCCATCAGCCAATCATTCATTGTTTGATTGCGAATCACTTGTAAGTATTAATTAGGACTGAATCTCATTTCTATTCAGTTCACAAATCTTAGCAAATTTATGGATTAGTGGAGGTGAAGAGGAGGTCTCAGATTTCTTGATACGGAATTTATGAGATACTTATGTATTCTAAACTGCAGGATTTATCCTACAAATCTTTTGATACTTTCATCAATAACTTGATCATCGATTACTCACACAGATTACCGGTAAAAATGATGTGCAGTCATTATTGGTCATGATGCTCAAATATTATACAACCGAAGTTACATATATAATTACTTTTTGGTGATGGGTCGGACTAAAGTTCCTGGCACTTTTTAATTTTCAGTCATTTTCTGGTTGGTATTGAAAGCCCTATTTTCATGTTGGCACAATTCATATTCATCCGGTAATGTCACATAGGTGCACCATAACTGTGTTTTCACCAGTTTACATATTGCTGTACTAGGATCTCAATCTTGAGATGGATCTTAATCTCAAGTTTTAAAATTGAAAAAAACAGACTGATTAAGTGATAGTGGCAATGTTTGCATTCACTGGTCCTTTTATAAATATAGATGATGAATTAATAAGTGCCATTTGCTGTGAAGTAAAAGGTCAGAGACCTAATCAGATTGCAATTAGAACAGTCTTAAAGAAGTACTCTGACTATTTATTGCAATTAGCAGTGATGAAAAGGCTGCTAAAGCTACAGGACATAGATTGCTTTTCAGCAGTAAAATCCATGGTCCAGAAGGTATCATATTCGCTGACGTTTTATGCAGTGAAGGAAGCAGAAATTAGATCACCAACTGACTACCTCTCGAACAGAAAATCTAGCGTTGATGGATGGCAATGGCTACTGGTCAACCAGACTAACATGGACTGGAACAAGCTTGTTCCTGTTATATTTTATCGTGAGGCAGATTTAAGCTGCACTTTCGGGCTATAAAGAAAATCTTTTTCCAACACATCAAGCTAAAACTCCCTGCATTGTGCTTTGTGTCGCATATCTTCAAGTTCAAAAGCTATACAGCTAAACTCTGTGACAACTGACAAATTTTTCAACATATTATCCTCTGACTCTACCACCTTTCAAATTCTGCTACTTCTCAAATATCATTTTATCGATTACTTCCAAAATATCGCTGGGAAAATTGAATTAGTACACATTATCTTCTGTGAAATTTAAAGATATAACTAATTTTGAAAGATTCTCAGTTAAATGTTTATTTCTCAATCTCATGAAGCACTTGCATCAAAGAGATGACAGTAAGTCATCAAAGAGATGCCAAAAATAAAAAAAATCTTTATTTGTTTTGGAAGAAAGTAATGAAGCTCAAAATCCAATTCTGTAAAAACAAATATGATTTGAAATCAATAACTTTTATAATGCAATAATGGTTCAGTGGAATAAACTTTAAATGACTGACAAGAGGAGAGACCAATAATGCTTGTCAAGTCATTTTACACTTCTCCATCAACCCTCTGTGGTTTGAAATAACTTCGAAATAATGGACATAAGCTAAGCATAATTGATTGAAATTTATAAGGGAAAACTACATTCAAAAAATATCTGAAAATCGTTAAAACATGGTGCTAAAGGAGGCTTGACAACTGCTTGGACTTTAAGTTTTTGTTTCATTTAGTTTTTATTTAGATTCACAAAAAATTTTTTCTTTGTGAAAATAGTAATCTTAATTATTTGAGTTGTAATGAATTAGCAATTTTGAAATCGGTTACAACTAATGCAACTAAATAGATTTCCTGGAAATGCTAAACAAAGCACTTAACTTTTTTTAGAACAATAAATCTTTGATAACAATAAATAGTAATCTTAACTGCTAATTAGCATTTACTTTCTGCTCCAGGTTTTTTTCATATTTGTGTGAAGTTCGTCCCGTACAATCCACAATGCTTGTACAATTGAATTATCAGCTGATTTAAATCAAAAGCGGAAACGGGCATTCAGGAACAGTCTAATCTAGTTCACACCAGTGATTCTGGCATATCAACCTTGATTTTTCATCCTATCGCGATCTGTATTTTTTCACTTACTAGGTTAATCCTGTTATTCATCACATCGCACTTTTGTAACAAATGGTGAGTGACATGAAAAACCCAAATATAAATTGATTTTTGCGAAACTCAACCACCGAAATGTTACCCCGAACTTCTTTAATGATAGTATTGAATCCTTGTTAGTAAGATAGAAATTTCTTCTGGATGTTTTCTGGTGGTTCATCTTTTACTTTTAATTAATGCATGAATTATGAAGTCATTCAAATTGTGAAATATTTGAAATAATAAAAATAGGGTCATTACGCAATCACTTTTGAGTTAATTGCAATTCTTTCATAGTTCATTATACAGTTTTTAAAAGTGTGTAAAATCCTTGCAAAAAATGAAATTTCAGAAGCAAAAACAAATCAAAGATAGAAAATCAAAAATGACTTAATTGTGTAAACTTTTGGCTATATGTATATATATGCAAATACATTTCTTTAAAATATATAATTAAGTTACAAACAACATGAAAATTAATTTTAGATCTTCGGTTTTCTTCTGTGGAATCTGGAAAGCTAACTAACAAACCAATTTGAAAAACAAATATATTCATTGATCATCTGCATTTGCCCACCTAAAAAGGATACTCAATTTATCTTCAAAATATTTTCGGTTTTTGCCTTACACCTCCGACCTCTTGTAATCTTGTAATGGTTCATCTGCAAGATATTGGAACATTTCATATTATTCGTGAAGATATGAAGCTTACATGTGTTCAATTATACAAAGCTATGAAAATGATGTATTATGTTTTAAGAGAAAATAATTAAATAAGTGCTAAATTACTGAGAAATTGCATCTTTTCTTGAGCAAGCAACAGATGTCCATTATGCTCAGTATGCAAGTGCTCCCCTAATATTTGCCATTTTGAGGCAATTCTATACTCTGATACTGAAACTACTACATTTTCGCAGTTAGAGAAAAAGCTTAATTGCATAATTTTTTCGTTTCAAAATGAATAAAGGCAGCCAATAAATTTACTCGAAAATAAGAAATATTAGTGATTCTCAAAAGAAAAAAAAAAAA